AGGTTATCTCAATGAGCAGTTAGAGATAAAAAGAAAAAAAGATACAAAGAAAATAAACAAAATAAAAATGAAAAAAAGTTCACTTGGCTTAGGGAGGGTGAATACAAAGAAAACCACATGACAACGAATGCCTGGGATGCTGGACCACTTGTTTCTCCACAGCACTTCTTTTTCCACGTTCACCTGTATTCCATCTTAGACACTTGGAGCTTGTAGAAAGTCTCTCGAGGCCACGTAAGTACAACTTCGCCCCAACGACCAGTTGTTGTACCTCGCATATCTTATTCCATATTTCAATACAGAAATTCCATGGCTGTCCCACCGGAGCTTTCGTATTCTTTGCTTTTTCCCTTCATAACTTCCCTTCAAATCACTTATTTTCATAAATGGTTCACCATTGACGATTGAAAAAGTCAAGCAGAACGTATTTTGTATTTTGCAAAAGTTTTTTTTACAAGACATCCATACATTAGTTAATTAGAAGAGGCAGAAGGACAAGCTCATTTATTTTTTTGTATATTTTCAAACATGAACACTGAATGCTCGTTGTAGTGGACTGTTAAAATTAGAAAAAAATTCATTGATCAACTACCCAACTTCTCACTCAAAAACCAACTCAAAATAAATTTACAAATTAATAAGTATGAATAATTAATTGTCAACTAATTGTACCCCAGATTATACGGTTAAGGCTCTAGTGTCACAGGGGGGTAATGGTTGTGGTAATGGATAAAAGTTCCTGGGTTTACGATCTTAGATTGTAGGTCGATAATTGTTTGTTCAACTTGTAACACGAGTGTCCATCGTCTTTCACTTGCTACGTACAGAGCGAGTAAAGATGCAAAAAACCAAGAGAAAATTTCCCTTCTTTGGATGACCTCCCTCTTTTTTCCTCTACCAGTGCCCCTACACGCTTTTACCCCAATGTCCCGTTGAGAGCAACCGATTAGCTCATCAATCAAAGCAGTGAGAGTGGCTTTGCGGGAAATTCCCTGCAAGTCCGCTGAACTTTTACTTTCCAGTTTACCTTCGGATCCAGAGCTGCTTCTCTGCCTCCATAATACGACTTGTCGAACAAGCACGTGCCAAAGCTAGTCTCCGTTTCATCGATCTTTTTATTGCGGTAGAGACGAATGAAATATTCTGAAAAATTAGAGGAAGAAGAAATATAGCAAAACAGAGAAATTTCACAATTGAAAAACACCAATAGGTTTAATTTTTGTATCTCCTTGCCTCGCAGTGCCCCATGTATTTGTCCAATCTAGCAACACAATTGTAAATAATTCCCACGAAACACAATCAAAGCTGGAATAACAAAGGAGTCGATCTCAAGTGCGGAAACAAGCGACAAGTCAAAGAAGAAAGTTTAAGCGGTGGTCACTGGCGCAAGGCGCACCTGCACATACAAGCGCTTGAGGAGGACAACGCGACGTTTACAAAGGCGTAAACGACCTTCCACAGGTGCAAGAGAGCCAGACACGCTAGACTTGACCCAGAGTATGTACGGAGTGGAGAATGTTATTTCCCCTCCGGCCACTTTTGCAGAACTCTTTTCTGGCCAAAGCGTCTCGTAAGTACCAGCTTCGAGGTATGTTGCACCTGCACGTGTTGTATACGTATACTCAAGATGTACGTGCTTACAGCCGATCGTTTTCATCGAAACAAAAAAAAAAGAAAATTATAATAATAAAGATTCATTTGATTAAAGAGGTAAATTAAAGTGTAAATCAACTGAAGAGAAATTCTTGTTTGATTCTCGTGAATGATCTATGGTGAGCGTTGGCATTTATTGAGCGAGTGAATGGCACTGAATTCAGAATTTATGACTCGTTTTTGAAACACTTTGGTCTTTGTCACCATGTAAAGATGCCGATATATTTTTGTAGAATAAGGCCACGGCCGGTCAAAAGATTTCCTTACCAATTACCTCCAATTTGATGGTTGTATAAAAATTGCGTCTTAATTTGAAATTCGCAAAATAGGGTCCTTCAATTGCTTGATCAATAATAATTTGCTCGAAGAATAGATTTGACACTAGTTGAAATATAATCGAATGAAGCTGTTATTGACAACAAAAAGCTCTTCATTTAGACTGCATTGTTTAAGACCATCCCTTGTAAACTTGGATACTGGCACTCAACGTATACTCAACAAGCTCAGCTGTATGCATTTGGAAGACAATGGAGGGAGCAAAGAGCCGATCGCGAAAAATTCCCAAACACATTTGATATCGGTATGCGAGTCCTGTCCCGAGATAGCCCATATACATGTATAAATATGCCGCATGTCCGCGGGCAAGTTACGAGACAAGCTCCTGTCCTAAGATCACCGTATGAATTCCGGAGGCAAGAAATGCATAGCCCTCCTTCTGGCGCTGTCTAGGGAGCAGTTGGCTGCAGGCTCAATATGGAAATAAAGCACCTCCGAGTTCCAGCTCCAAAATGCATGTACATTGTACACCCGTATCTCTCCCTCTCTCTCTCTCTCTCTCGCTTGCGATTTCTTTTCCGCTCTCGCGACTTTCTTCCCTGCTCCGTAAATTTTTTGGCGAATTTTGCGTAAAGCGACAGGCGGGAAGCATGAAAAAATGGTTTATGCATGAAAGGACGTGAAGGGGGGAAAATATGGGAGGGGCACGCAGAGGAGTCCATGATTGTTGCGACCTGTGTACAGCGGAGTCCGAGTTTTCCTGAGCATTAGCATATTTATTAAAAGCGCGGCAAAAAAAAAAAAAAAAAAGGCGTAATACAATTTTCAAGAGGCTGATTGGCCACTGGTTTTCGCGTGGATGAAAATTGCGGGAGCCTTAATTTGGGGTTCCCACTGATGACGTGTTTGCGCGAAAATGCAATGCTGTCCTTTTTTCTTTTTTTTTTTTTTTTTCATATGTATTAACAAAATACACTCACCTATCTGACGACCCTCTCGAAGCATAATTGCAGAAAAGTGTTGAAATTATTATACCTTTGGTAATCAGCAGTGTTAGTTGCGTTGGTTTATTTTTATTATCCATGAATATCTCAACAACTTATTCTTTGTTTGTTAGTTTTTACTTTTTGACCTTGTTTACTTTAGCAGAAATCGGCTAAACTTGTGGTTGAGCGTCGAGTGGTTAAAGTAAAAAAATTTATAAATTTAACTGTACACGATGAATTTTAACAATCAATGAAAAAAAGTATTTTCTATAAAAACTGAATTGAAAATAATTCGTGAACAATATAGTCACGTAAGTCTCAAATTGTTTTAATCGCTCAATGGCTAGGAAATTATCTCTCAGTAAGGAATGTCCATATTTTTTTTATAATACTAATTAAATTGAAGGAGTAACAAATAATGCCACACATTTATTTACAAAATATGCATATATTTACACGCGTGACGCACAGTGTGTATACAAAACAAATACATATAGCACAAATACGCGCAATTCCTTGTATCGCAAGGAGAAATATTGACTATTACTCCATGGATACAGTACATTCCAGACGTATTTTCGGAGCTTACATTATAATGTATAAAATAATAAATTAAATAATTTAAAATAAAAAATAAAAAAACGTCGATGTGTACAATAACGCTCTTATGGCTGGATAGTGCAGTATCTGCACGTTTGATAAGCTCAAAAAAACATTTTGCTGATAAAACAACTTTGGATTTGGGTATAAACTGTAAATTGTAAAATTAAATTGCGTACGAAGAATACATTTGTTACGCAAATACATAAATTTCGATAAAGAAGTCAATTAACACTTTACTAGTAAAAAATAAACATTGTAAAAGAAAAGGTTCGAGTTAATGAAAAGTAAATTAATCATGTAAGGTATCATAAAAAACGTATGAAAAAACTTTCATGTTAGAATAACTTTCAATCATGACTTGGTAATAGTTCAATGCGAATATTCCTAATGTAACAATAACATTGTAGTATTTACTCATACTGTTAGGCATACGGACAGCCACACTTGATTCATGCAAACTGATGTACAATTTTTTCTAGTAAACTATCATTATTGATGTAAAATAAAAAAAATAAATAAAAAAAGGAAAATGGTACAAAAAAAAGGAAATAAAAAAGTACATGTAAACTTGCACATTCACCCGTGACTGTCACCGAGCACTTTGCCCCAATGAACTCTGAAAGTATTACTCATCATCTGAAGTCATATAGTTATACTCAGGTAAGTGAACACAAAATCGTTATCTCTCTTTTTTTAATTTTCCTTGTTTTTTTACTCAAAGTTTACCCGCTGGAAAATCGACATTGACGCTGGCTCAATAGCTTACAGTAAATATACTTGGCATATGTTTGCTCAAGCTTGGGTGAGCGTGCGTATACTCGTGTATGGTATTTCCTCTTAGCCAAGGTATTCGTGTCAAGTTCGTGGCACGAATTTGCCGAAAGGTAACCTGAAAGGTCAGCGCTCATCTATACTTTCGTTGAGCTGGAGCCTCCGGCTGAGAAAGGGTCTCCTTCGCTTTCCGCTCACCAACGCCTCCTTCCACCTTCACCAGCCGCGGTCTTGCCGTGTGCCTCTAGCTACCTGCGCCGATCTCAAGACTCCTCGATATTTACGGCGTAGGATCGTGAGAGTGAAAAGCAGTCCTTGCTTGAAGAAGATCCCCCGTAAACTTTCTCCTTGGCTCAGCGATTGTTTTATCAATAAAAAGGCACCAACAAATCAGACTCCATTCACTTGCATTCTACCCATGCAACATCGGTATTTTCCTTTCGAATCAACTGAGCGATGGACTCAATAACATTTGTATAAAGACATACTAAGTTTATAATAACTATTATCTGTACAGAGCGACCTATTTTGAATGGCACTTTAACTGATGAATCTTTATTTTTTTTTTTTCTTTTTTTTTTCTTCTGAGACTCGTAATTTAGAAATTAAAAGTCTTAATCGTAACGAATGATGTTGTTACATAGTCATAAACTGATCGCACAATAAATAATTTATTACATTCAGATATAATTGTACCTCCCTTGCGAGCCATTACGATTCGCTTTGTTTCTCGTTTGGCATGACTTCAGCTTGTTTCTCGTCTTTCGATACCGATCTAGATTCTGCGTTTGCACTGTGCAAACCTTGATTGAAAAATAGTGCTATACGGCTGTTATCGGACGCAGCAGAGTCTTGGTCGTTACTCCCCTGAGTATCGGGGCTGATGTCTCCTCTTAGTTGTTTCGGTTGCTCCTGATTCGATGAACCCTTGACGTTGCTGACGATCGAAGAACTTGCCGACTGGGATAAGTCGTGACCGTATCCTTGTTGTTGTGGGGGTGCTAGCCTCTGAAGTTCCAGATGTCCTGCCTCTGGTTGTTGCTCGATAGCTGACAAAATGTTCTGTAACAAGCCGTTGGATAGTACTTGATCGTGCCTTACATTTCCATCGGAGTTTTCGGTTCCCAAGCCACCATCAGCAGGTTGAATTTGAAGTGTATAGGTTCCTCGGGATCCTTGGATTTGAAAACCGTCACCATCAGCGGTCAATGTTTGTGCCAAAGCTAAAGCTTGGCCTCCTTCGACTGATTTTAAAAACTGCGTGGCATCAACTTCACTTGATTGAACGATATTTTTAGCTTCGCCGTAACCTTGGGCAGTTAAAGCAGCTGTTAGAGCCTCGGCTGAAAGCCCTTCTGGTCCTCGAGAAGGGCCTTCGGTCAATGAATTTTGACTATGGCTGGACAAGTCCGACAATTCGGCTGTTTGTAAGTGCGTTGCTAAAGCAGCCCCAGATTGATCGGAGGCTCCAAAGTTATTGTCGACTGGATTTCCGTAGCTATCTTTTAAGTCACCTGGATTTTCTCTTTTGTGTTCCAACGCCAATTCATTCACACTTGGGGCGGCATATGCCGAAGTCAACGAGCTCGAATCTGAATTTATTGCTTGATTTCTATAATCTATGTTTATATTTTGTTGATTTAGTGAATCAAAATTCAATGGTTGGCTGCCAAAGTTGTATTGGAAATTACCTCCATTTCTCTGGCAATCGCTTCCGTGTGCGTTATTTAAGGGTGTTCCATAAGTGGGTGCTAGAGATGTTCCAACACTTTGGTATAAATTACCGCCATTTCCTAAGGACGATGGTGGTACAAAGTTGGGTGCTCCATACGTTAGAGATGGAGCTGGAGTATTAAAGTCGTTAAACGATAATGGTGTTCCATAGTTGACATTAGGTGCAGCCAGTACCGTATTTGCACTAAACGAATTACTAGTGGCAACTGATTTAGAAAATCCATGGAAAGGTGACGAGTTTTTTATGCCTGGTAATTGTTGCTCGTGGGCTGATGGAGCTCCATAAGTTTTAGGTGGTTGGACTGGAGAGAGGTATTTGTGTATATTTGATATTAGAGCTGCTGGTATAGAATCCCGAAACTTTACTGGTTGTCTTTTGGGAAGAGTGAACCCACTCGGAGGGGGTGCTGGTGGTCTAAGTCCTGTGCGGTGACGGTTTCTGTGATGCCCATTTCCTTTATGAAAATTCAAACCAAAATGGCTGACACCACGATGGCTATGCGATGACGAAAATGAAGCTCCCGAAGAGAATGGTGGAGCACCATAAGTAGCAGAAGAAGGGCCATGATTTCCAGATGGAGCTGGCAACTTCTGTAATGAAAAATCATCTCCACCAATTGAATGAGAACTTCCGGAAGGGGGTGCACCGTACGATCCACTTGGTCGCCCACTAATACCGTTACCGTCACCATTTATTCCGAAATTTGGCAATAATTTAAAACCAACTGTTTTTACGATATCGGCATCCGGAAGCCCGTAGTGGTTATCAGGTTGATGTAGCTCAACATTATTAGACGAAGAACTGTCGATTGCTTTTTGGTTGTTATGCAGAGGCTCAAACTGAGGCAGATTAGGTGGTGGTAGCCCATCACTTTCATGAGAAATAGTTGCATGAGAAACGATTGATTTCAGATGATGGTCTTCAGGATTGTTTAAAGGAGTACCATAAGAGTCACTGGGGACATTGGGATTAGAGTCAATGGTTACAGATTGTCCATTATCTGAACCAGCACCATTACTAAAGCTAGCTTCATTGTTATTTAAAGGAGTTCCGTATTGATTCGAAGGAGGGTGGGAATTACCCGAAGCTGGAGGACCGTATTGACTTAGGGAAGAACCAAAACTATTTGAAAAAGATGGAGGGCCATAAGTATTGTCAGGAACTGGAGGGCTGTAATCGGTCGATGGTGAAGGAGGTCCATATTCATTTGATGGACGTGGTGGAATGGAACCATCCGACTGGGGTGGAGGGCTGTAATCGTTTGATTGAACTGGAGGGCCGTAGTCATTCGAAGGTAATGGAGCACCGTAGTCATTTGATGGAGCTGGAGGGGCATAATCATTCGAGGGTAATGGGAGACCGTAGTCATTTGATAGAGCTGGTGGGGCATAATCATTGATAGGTGGTTGCTGCTGATCTGGAGTATTTACATGGCCGGCGATTGGTTGCCAACCATCATATTTGATATCTGGTGGTGTGGGAGGAGCTGGTACACCTGGAGGTGGGGGTGGAGGAGGCCCATTGAGATCATTTGGCGCACCATACTGTTGTTGGGGTGCTGTTAGCACTGGAGGAGCTCCATAACTATCTTGAGGCTTGGAAGAGAATGATTCATCAGATTGTTTTGTTGGTGGTCCATAAGCTTCAACGGACAAAGGAATAGAAGGTCCACTTTCAAAACCACCTGATGGTGGTCCATATTGAGATGATGGAGGGGCACGGGGTTTCGAAGGAGGCCCATACTCAGGTTTTGGTATTTTAAATGAAGGTGGAGGTCCGTAACTTGATTTAGGAGGACCATACTGTGATTTAGGTGGACCATACTGCGATTTTGGTGGCCTGTATTGTGATTTTGGTGGGCCATAACTTGATTTAGGTACGGATGGAGGAGGTCCATACGATAATTTAGGCAGATCATGCTGTTTTGGCTTGCTTGGGGAATAAAATGGTTTTGGTGGACCACTTAATGGTGGTGGCTGTTCTGGTGGGAGTGGTTCGTAAGTTTGTGGTGGTCGGTAATCGCCCGTTAACTCAGGTGGTCCGTAAACTGGAGCTGGGCCCTTGTATTTTGTGCTTGGAGGGGGTCCGTAAGAATCTGCTGGAAGCCCATATGAACTGCTTATTCTATCCTCTGCTGCAACGGAATCACTTTTATCGTTATCACTTGTTGGTGATGACGTAAGATTGGCTTGATTTATAACTGCAATAACATGATGGCTCATCAACAGTATGCTAAGAAGCACGGTGATTACCTGCAACAGAAAGTGTTTTTTAAGTTGATTAGTAAAATTATAAGTTTTAATTTACATGATTCGAAACAACTAACATTGCATAAATAAATCGGTAGTAATAGGTTATGAAATACTCTAGTATATTGTTTCAGTAGACTAATCATTTCTAATAAGAATTATACTTTAAGATTTGTCGAATGATTTTTGTATTGATTAAAAATATTGCTCTCGCTACATTGATAATCACAATAATATTGATGATCATAATCAAAACATTATTTAACAATGTAAAAAAATGAATATTTTTCAGATCTTACGGTAGTTAATATTTTCTCTTTTGTTTGTTTAAGAAATTTATTAATTAGATTCTTTTTATACCGGTTAAGCATCCTTATTTGTAAACCCAATACTCGATCACACAATGGATGAGATGAAAAAAAATTAACTAAGTAATAAATAACAAATTACCTAAAAAATTGTACACAAATGAAATTCATAGCCTTCATCATAAATTATACTACTCATGCACAACAGTGGCAATGCCACGCACAAAGAAAGAAAAAAATTTTTTCTGTAGTACCTAGCAATAAAAATGAAAATTTGGCAGTAAAACTGCGATTGTGCGCGTTTTTTTAACTCTTAATTTTTCAGCATTCTCAAAGAAAATCGTTATTTAATCAATTCTAAATCAATAGAAAAATTATAATAATGTGTTAAAACATCACACCACGGATCTGTTGAAATTTCGATTATTAATGATCAATAATTTTCTAGTAGCTTCATATCCACTCGCACGACAGCATTATATTTAATTTCTTACGCGTAGGTACATTTTATTTCCTAATATTTTATGACCATTGCAATAAATATCATGAGACAGGTCATAACTTAGAACAATTACTTTCAAAATAGGGGCTAATTTATTAAAACGATTTTTTATAATTTTATTAGCCTGTAAACCACCGTTTTTAATGGTTTAAAACTCGCCGAAACTCAAGTATCTTTTAATTTGACTTACAAAAATGGTAGGCTGTTAAAGGCAATTCATGAAAAAAATAAAATCACCATAAAGTTAAATTTGAATTCGATTCAACGTTAGATACCACCAAAAAGTAGGAGGGAACACTCGAATTTCCAGGAAATAGTGTGGTTGATTGAGTAATAAAACAAGAGAATCCAGATGAATAAGACAACTTGAAGCTACAATAGCATTTCATGGCTGTCTTAAATCTCATTTTCTTTTACTGCATCGCATTATCTTAGTGGACATGATTGGAATTTCAGACACTAGAATTTGACATGCTTTTACACTCTATCCTTACTCAACGAAATTTCAATCTGAAATATATAGGGCATGGCTGGAACATTGGTATCATTTTTCTCGCGATTTACGACCCACCGATCATGCAATTTAATAACAGAGTCAATCTATCCTCGATATTTTGACGAGCACTGTTGATGAATTTCGTTATCCAGGAGTAAAAAGAGAGATTACCTTTAAAAAAAGCGTTTCGAAACCTATGTTTAATTTTTTTGGTACAATAGTAAAAATGTTACACGATAAAAATTGGGAGTTGGTGCAACTGAGCTTCATTTCGATTAAACTTATCATCTTTTTGGATGCCAAGTAAAAAAAGGAAAAAAAACTTTTTTTGAAAAACACGTTGACAGGAGGTGAAAGTAAGTAGAATGAACATCAGCAGAGTTGTAATGGTTAGAAAGACAATTTCAATGAAGTGTCAAATTAGAAACGATCATGTCCAGCTCTTAGCATTAGTTAGATGGATCTCTAGCATTATCACTTTCTTACTGTTTTCTCTTTTTACTATGGGCGCACGAAACGGCCGATTCATTCGTCCGATTCAATAACCCTAACAGGTAGGACTCTAATAACAATCCATGACTCTAAAAGGACAGCTAGTATAAAAAAAAAAAAAAAAGTGACAATGATTACGAAACATCGTATGACATAAGCCTCGCGTTGTAAGGGACTCCCCGCACCAACACATCCGGTTCGTATCGTAGGCGTAACTGAGAAACAGACGCGCGCAGAGACCCGAGGATGAGAACTTGCGAAACTGTGTTCCACAATGTCCGTTTAACCATGGCAATGCAGGAGAAGAAGAGGAAAACAAAAAATGGCCCAATCAAGGACGATAATAATGGACGCGGTGGCATTGCAAACGAGCCCAGTGCATTCGATGCATTTACGCGGCTCAATCGCGAATCTTCTCTCAACGCGTGGTGTATGTGTGTAACGAGGCTCTCTCAGCCTTTTGAGCTGTTTCTCCGGAGAGTTGGTGTTTTGCGGCTTGTACACGTACCCGTGTGTGTCCGCCTGTACTTGCCGGTCGTGAAGAGAAAACGATTTTTCGATTCATTAACGCGCGGAGGCTCTGTTTGTCTTGACTCGGAGGGATATACGTGACTTTCTCGAGGGGAGACCAATTGGGTGCCTCGCTCGCTCTCCTCTTTCCTACCTGCACCGTGGCTCGAGACAATGATTGACGGTCCCAATCGACTGGTGCGTTTGCTTTTTTTTCTTCTTTTTCTTGTGCATTTCATCGATTAGCATTTTACACACTTTTATAACCCCTTTACTCGCTTGATCGATGCGAATCTGCACGCGCCAGTTTTTTAATTTGCTCCTTAAAGATGTTTATTATTTTCCAGACTCGACCGTTTCCATTGCTTTGCGAACGTAACGGGGAATCATCAATGCTTAGACTCCAAGGCCATTGGTAAACAGTTGTGCACGAGCTTTCGAGGCAAGCTCTTTCTCTCGGGTGCGCTAGTAGGACGCGTTGGGAAATACGTATATATTGTTGCTGTTCACACGCGAGCCATGCACTCCTTAGTTGTGGGATGAGTAAGGTTGCACGTTATTGCGTGATTCGCGTGGTATGAGCATTCACGTGGACTTACTCCGACAGTTGGAAGAGGATTTATATTTTGATTCATTTCCAAGTAAGCTCGTTAAAATTGTCTAAAGTTTTGCTGCCAATCTACGATTGTTAATACTATGTTGTTTGTTATTCTCCATTTGGAGAATCCATTGAAAAATACCGCAATGTAAGCATAGTTTGTTTTCCTGTTAGGTTGGTGCCACACAACGAGCAATCCAAGAGCAGAGTTCGATATTTGTAATCCAAGGGTTGCAACAATATCATTGCGGAAAAAAATTTTAGCGTGTCTTACTGACATTACACTCTGTATGCACCTCTATGGCTTTGTATTGATACTAGAGTCGCATGATTGTACGGTGCACGTGTTATGAGGTCGTAATGCCTTGTCATACGTATGCGAGGTTGTACGTACAATAGAAGATTAGTCGTGGTGATCGAAAGCTTAACGCATTTCTGCGCAACACTGGAGTGGGAAATCATGTTGGGATCATAAATAACGTAGCTTTGTGCTTTTGATGATACCCCACGATTATTTATTTCAGAGTGAAACAGGGAGGAAAAATTTCAAGTTTTGATGCTCCAATGATGAAGGGATTCACCTTGAGAGTAGGCAGATGGATGTTTGAACTATCCAACCAACCAATGGAATGTTTGCGATTAAATACTGATTCTAAAAATATACAAGTATACTTCGTACGAATTCCAGTCTTACTCCTAATGTCCAACAGAACAGAAGAATCGTCACACCAAATGAAACATATCTAGAAAGCTCATCTATGTTCCACCTACGATCGCACTTTCCATTGTCATCTGGTTTTGCTCTATCACTCACACGCTAACTCACTTTGATTTGGATCAATGTCCTCGGAACCACAACCATAAAGCTCACGATGCCACCTCCGAGTTGCAATATGGGGAGCCGTTAAGGCCGATCAGATAACCCAACGCAATGGCCACAACTCTCGTCTCGTTTCTTAAAAAAAAGGGAACCCCCAACGGTGACATCCTCTCTTTTCCCCGGCGAAGCAGCAAAAGAAAAGGAAGGAAGGAAACATCACCTACGGGTGACCTTTCTCCCGAGACAGAGAGAAAGAGAATTTAGAAAGTGGACGTGTCCACACACATAGAGAAATCGGCAAGCATCCGTAGCCTCAGCGAAATCGGCCTCGGGCTAAACACGAGGAACCGTGTACCTACGACCCAAGGCAGCACTCTCTCTCTCTCTCTTTTTGTACATACACGTTTACTCGAACCCTCGCACACCATTACAAACAGCTACTGGGTCAAATGCCGGGGCGAGCCTTCATGCATAGTCATACCCTAATCACGCACTGCTCCCTTTGCTCGCACACTGCACGCCGAGGTACAGCCGCTCGTGTGTCGTGCCCTGCACGTGATTCGCCCGCAGGGCCTTTTTCCCTTGTACGATTTCCTTATCGCTGCCTTGTTCACCCCAACCCCATTGACGGTGTGCATTGCACCCCGCGCTCCCCCTCGCCTGGAAGAAGCTCGTGGTTATTAATTTCACTGGTAGGTGTAACGAGGGGCACGCGATACGTGTACGCTCGGTTCGATGTGGAAGGGTAATTTCCAAGAGCCGCGGGTCATCCAGGTACGCGCGTATATATATGTACTCGTGCTCACGGCGGTACAATCAATTTTGTACGTGGACGAACGAGCGCGCGCGGGAGGCGACACACTTTCTTTTTCGTGGTCGGTAGCGGCGCTTGATTGATGCCTTTTCCGTGAATTCCGATGGCGCGGCGACGACGTAATTTCAAGGCTCAACCTACGCGCACGTGGTTTCCTTTTCAACCGAGTGGGCTTCGTTGACGGAATTATCATCGCGACGAGGTGGTATCGGTGACTAGGATCTTACCCCGGGTCTGTACGTATGTGTACATATACATATACGTTTGTGGGCGGCTTTCGCTGGTACATCGATGGCTTATAGTTGGTACGGAATTAGATTTTGTTTTAGTGCAGTTTTTAAGCTGAAGTGCTTTTTTAGATGATGCTTTGAGTTTTATAAATCATAACATTGTGACATTTATTGAGTTTTGTGAATTTTCAACTGTATGGGTGACTCAAGAGTGAATGTTAGACCAAACATCGTTGTAAAAGAAAAAAAATCAACAACATAAAATAATTTTAAAAAATTAACGATCAAAATAACTTTCTTTTACCACAAAAATTCAGAACTAAAAAAAAATTGGAACTTAAATCTTTTGAATAAAAAATTTTTTTTTAAATAAAAAAATGCAGCTGTGGAAAAAAAATAAATAAAAAAAATAAAAAACAAAAAAACGAAGCTGCGTTTGTAACGAAAGAAATTTGGTTCAAAATTAAATTACTTCAATACCAAAAAAAAATGTTTACAGAATAATGAACCCCAATTAAGTCGTTAACTTGATAGAGCAGTGCTTTTACCGTTTTAAACTTCATTCAATACCCATAACGATGTATTAAAAAAAAAAATAAAGACCTCAACAAGCTATACATCAATTAACTTGGAGTTTACGTTACTCCCAATAAATCAACACTTATACAGTAGTTAAAAAATGCTTACAATATTCTCCGTAGATTTTCCGTTCGTACAATATTTGACTTGAAATTTGTATTCTCGAAATGAAAATTTTAATACCAAATTAATAAATGTATGTACACAACAAACTTTTTTTTTTTAATTTTCATAAACTGCAGCAATAATGTTTCGTAAACCTTTAGATTAAAAACTTTCCATCATAAAGTATAATCCAAAAAATACATCGATTGATTTTCCACGAAGAATTCTCAGAATCGAGTGACCCGAAAATTCCTCATAAATTTTTTGGTCACGTTCCGTCAACTGCCAGGCGAGTTTTCACAGTCAAAGTCAACGGCGCACTCCAAGTACCTGCCACAAGTACAGATTTTACTTCCATCTTCCGTCCGATCACCTTCCGTGAGTTCAACTCCCATACACACGTTTGGAGACGTTTAACCGCATTTTTTCGACTTTCGCTTCGTATAAGTAGGTCCCACGCGCTCCAAGTGTTTACTTATGAATTTACATTTTTATGTATCCCTCGTGTAAGTATATAATATATTGTCGTGAGAAAGGTGCCTTCTTTCTTCGAAGATCCGAGACTCGACCTCTTTCGCCGGCTGCGTTTCTCAATCAATAACAATCATTTTCATAAACTTACAGCCACGGATATCTTTTATTTTCTAAAATGGTAATTTTTATTAACCTCATTAACTTTACTGCCCGTTCCCGAGAAAGTGAGAGTATATTCAAATTCTCTATAGATTCGATGGGAATCTCATCTATTGAGCCGTAAATGTAGGGCGTCAGTAAAATTTTACGTTTTTCCTCATCATTTGTGTTAATGCAATAACTAACATGATTAAAACAATTGTAAAATCGAGACAGCACAAGATGAGGATTCAAAATATTGATAATTGTTGGATTGAATATTCATTAAACGATTCTTCAAAGACAATATCCCCAATTTAAAAAATTCTTTAAATCCAGGAAAAGCTTTCTTTTTGGACATTACATGATGGCCAACAACAAGTAACGTGGTATAAAACTATTTGAAAGTCAAAACTGAAACTTAAAACATGAAAGAGACGATTACAACACAAATCATAAATTTAATACGAACTATTTGGAAATACAGGAAATTATTCATGTAGAAAAATAATCATTTTTTAAAGAAAACTCATGCTTTTTCATAAAATTTATTGAAAATTATATAAATAAACCCAAGAGATTCACATAAAGTGCGCATTACTTCAGTTAGTATTATGAAAATTTTAATGAAAATTTTTCATGTAAGACTAATGTGAATTGATTGGTTTTGTATATTACAGTTGAAATAACCAATCCACTGAAGATGTTTTAGAAATTAATAGACTTTTTCACTTTGACCAGTTCAAAAAAAAACTTTAAAGAACCTCTGTCGACAGGCATAGTTCGAGAACATTTGAAAGAAAATAATCCTTTTAGTAAAAACAACACAAAATATTGGTCTAAACCTTGTATTATCCTGATATCCTTAAGGAAAGCTCCAACCTTTCGTTGAATTACATTCAGCGTAAGATTTATCATGCAAATCTGTACACATTGTCAAGAATCGGTCCTAATCGTTTAAAAACAGCAGCACCCGTAGAACCCCTTTTTAACCGCATTTATTATATTTTGGTTTATCAAATGCGCTCCATTGTTGATTTAAAAAAGTCGCGCACATCAGGCAAACAGAGTACAGTCGAACCAAAGTCCTTTAGACCCATCGATACACAAAACTACCCAACGATCAGTGCAAAAAATTCCAGACTGATTGTAAACCCTGTGGGATCAACCTCAGACCACATAAACCGCACAGAAGCAAAAGTAAAAACCCCGAGACTCTCATAAACATATACAAGCTACAGACCGGATCAGTTGAGCGCACGCACTTTTAAGCTTGCACTGCCCGTGCGCCAATTACACAATCCGCGCGTAGCTCGTTGGATGTAATGCAAGCGTATAGGTATATACCGGTGATGTAATGCTCGGTATGTCGACCCATCCATGCATATTAGATCCATCGCTGGAAATTATTCCCGTTCTTTTTTTGGGACTTTCGTTTTTCGTGGTTTAGAGATGAATAGTTCACGCTCCGAGCGTTGGGGTTTTACTGTAATTTTGGCATTCTTTGATGCTGCACAAGCACTCGACCGTAGTCAAATGTTTTTTCTTGAAGGCTTTGTTATTTTTATTTTTTTTGTTTAAAATGAATAAGGGACTTATGGTACAAGCACAGATTTTGCACAACAAAATAATGAAAAATTATTAACATGAAAGTTCGAGTTTTTTACCGTGAATGTATAGAGAGTAGCGGATCTTACCTACGTACAAGTACGTAGTTAAGTTTTTTTCTGTAAAAAATTCATAATAATAAAGAGAATGCAATTTGGAATGTATGCTAACTATTTAATCAAAATTTTGTCTACTATACGCCATGAGCGATAAAATGGGGAAAATGTTTTTTACCATTTTTTTTTTCAAAGCTCTTGAATTTTTGGTTTAGGAGGATTTTAATTTGTAAACTATTTAAAAAAATGGTCGTATAAACAATTGATGTAACTAATGTAAAAAGTTTTTATAAAATTAAAGTTTAAAGGATAAAAATACAGTAATATGAAAAGAAAGCTTAACCGATTCGAAATTAATATTAATAGCACTCGAAAAAAAATTCGTGGTCGAAAAATTTAAAAAGACATTAATGTCAACATAAATAGCTCACTTTTTGCCCTACATTACGAAATCGCTTTAAAAATTTTTCTATTAAATAAGGCAGTTTGAGAATTCATACACATATTTTCAAAACATGTATCTTGATAATACCATATTCAAACATTTCTGAGAATTAACTAACGGTCTTTTATTAATTCAAATACTATCCATCAGGATCGGAAGAACTAGTTTTTAATATTAAAAAAAAAAAATGTTTTAAAAATCCTTTATTTTATTTTTTTTTTTNTTTTTTTTATAAATTTATCGATTGACTATTCTTCTAACCCCAGAGAGTCAACTAATGTAATTATTACTTTGACTGCACACGTATAACCTCCTTAAAACCATCAAGAATTTCGTTATCTTGGGAAACAAAAGGTTCGTCTACGAAGCGTCTTGTACGTTTGCTAAGCCCCGTGCGAATAAGTTATCAAACAAAAAATTGTGCAGGTTTACAAGACCCCCGGGCAATTCGTTGCTCAAAACTGTCGGCAGTTTAACAACGCGCGTATGCTCAGTTGTTCTCAAGCGGCGAAGAGACGGGTAATCTTTTGAATTGACGGGAGTTGTGAGGTGAAAGAGCGCGTCGGCGATTTCTACCCGCATAGTCGGCAACAATCAGCTGTGACTCTATTCCACGCGTTTTGCACGTGTGCTTGTTTCCGGCACTTTCTTTTTTCCGTTTGTGTGGTAATTAGGGGGTTTCATTCGGGTTTTTGGGATAATCTTCCGCACGATGATTTTTTGGATAGAGTTACAAGATCAGATGTTGTGTGAGTAACACTTTTCATCATCGGACTACATGGTTTATGAGAAATGAAGAGAAATTTCGATCCAATTAAGAAAATTGACTACCCGTGGCTTACAACTGAAGGAAGTACATTTAAAAGGACTTGCAGGACTTTTGATTGATTTCTGTTCGTTCATGAATATCTTTTTGTATCCAAGTTTTTCTAAGTAAAATATCTCTTAGATGCGGTGCTTCACGTCAAAAGTTACAATTCGTTCAAGATACCATCGGAATCTCAATGGATGAAATAAAGCTACATTTTATCTATCTCGATTTCCATAAAAATTGTTTCCTCTGCGTGTCGTTGAACTACCGTGACTTTTGATCGAAGGCACCAAATCAAAAGAAAAAAATGGAAAACTTTTTACTATGGTCTTTCAGTCGAATTCAACCACAGAAATAATTTACTTTCAACAACAAGGTACACATACCAATATCAACTTTACAAGAAATCAACTAAGATGTGCAACATCTTGATCATGAAACATTTTATGAAATACGCATTACTTTTGTTGGTAGTCATTGATTGTTTTTTATATATATTCACGTTATTCAAAACGATTGCCCATCAGTAAGGAGTTATCTTTTTTTTACCAAAAAATAAAAAAAATAAAAAAAATAGAAAAACACTCGATTTCCAAAACCAAAACGAATCTTATGAGTTAATGACACAGATAGAGGTCTCAAATAAAACAACCACTAAGCAAACTCAGTGCACGAATTGGGAAAAATGTCCTTGCACACATCCAGCACAGCGAAGCCCGGCTTTCCGGATAAATTATCACACTGTACAAAAACACCTACCTCGATACGCGCCATGGCACCACTGCGATTCTCCCGATCACTGCGCGTCAATGGTGGTCCCTCAACTTATCCCTCTTCACTGGCAATACTTCCGTCGAACAATCACGTTGGACGAAAAACAAAAAAAAACAAAAAAAAAGGCAACCAAGGATTCTGTACTCTACTTGATCTCTGACAAACAATCGGCGCAATAGTCAACTCTCACATGATCGCGCAAGAAAGTCACTGGCAAAAAGTCCCCTCGTTCCTTGAAACCTCGGTCGTGCGCGGCGCGCGCGCGTACATTCAAACTCTTGCGAGTCGCACGTGACGTGGGAGAGATGCGTGCGAGCGCTCTCGCGGCTCTCTCTCGAAAAATGTCGAGCAAGGCTCGCTCGGGCCTCGGCTTATATAGACTCACCTCGGCTGGCTGCTGCGGCCGTCTCTCCTCCTCCTCCTCCGGTGGGCCGTTGTGAAGGGATACCCACGTCTCATCCTCGAGTCGGTTTTTGTGGTGGTGGGATGCTCCAGCCGCTGCCACCGTTGGATCGGTACCGGTTACCCAGCGGCGTGAAAATTATGCTTGCGAGTGTAAGATGTGCCGGGAGATCGTTAGTTTTTTTTTTTTGTTTTTTTTTTTTTTTTTACCAAAACAAAATAGGCAAGGATTGTAAGCAATAAGTGGCCTGGAGTTGGAACACCATTCATAACAATAGAGACTTTTTCGAAAAATCCATTGGGTACTTGATTATTTGATACTTTCATTTGATCGATGTTAAGTTTGTCTATCTCAGTGGAAAAAAAAATAGAAATCATTACTATAATGGTGATTTCTGATCTTTGCTAATTTTCTTACTTTTGTTGAGTTTTTCAATCAAGACTTTGATATACGAGATCTTTGATATTCCTCTTTCGAAACGTGTAAACATGGTTTTCCCGTAATAAAATAAAATGAAATAAATCAATGCACTTTAAAAAATACTTGCCCGCACTCATAAACACCGAGTCGTCTACAACATTTCTGAGCGCAAAACACTAAAGATGCAATCAGAAAAAGTCGTTCCAAAATTCAAGCATTAAGTCTCGGACCGATAGAAAAGTCCACGGGAGCTAGTGATCATTACGTAACGGCAAGAATCACTCGCCATAAATTTTGATCTCTTAAAATTGCATCCTTCGTACCTCTTGAACCTTTTACAACGATGTTCAAAAAAATCTATTTCAATTTCTCCATTACCAATCGGGCTAGTATGATTCAATGACGCAATATCGCTCGTTGCAGTGAATCAAGATTACCGATTTTTGACAAAAGTTAATTATTAGCCCACCGTAGCAAACTCATGAGGTATAAAAACCAAGTTTACAAGCTTATTGCTTATTACCTGTACGGGTCATCCGACGCACGATAACGATGAGCAAGTTACGTTGCACTCGTTCATACGTGCACTGCGTAGAGGGACACGAGAAACAGGATTTACAGGAGTCTGGTTTGATAGCGAGCAGGATTCAGGTTTTTGACGCGAGCAGCATAACTTGCGTCATGAAAACTACCCGAAACTTTGTTACCTCGAGCTCCGTTGGGTCTTGAGTTCAAAGGGGCTGCCAAATGTGATAAACATGTGTGACCTACAAGACATCGCAACTGGGTACACTCACGTGCCAAGATAAAAAAAATGGACTCATCATTCCAACGCGTGACGATAATTGTCCATTGTTCTGGCTCGAGCTGGGGCATTTTTTGGATAATCTGGGCAATTTGTCGCTCTTTGGCAGCTGGTAGCGCAGGACACTCCTGAGGTGTATTGATGTGAGAAGGAATTTGGTAGCGTTTCATATCTCCGTCGATGGTGGGATAGTTTTTATAACTTTCTCGATATTCATCCAAAACAAGACGGTCTCACCGTAATTTAATAATTTTTGTTGAAAAACGAATAGTTTATGTAACTCGACGAAATAAGTTTTCCGAAAGAATCCAATTTTCCGAATCCAAAAAAAAAAAAAAAAAAAAAAAGGAAAAACAACCTGCACGATAAAATCGCGTTACGCAAGCAAAAGCGATCGCACGAGCTTTCGATTTCCCAGAGATTAAATTTAAATCTCCGCGAGACGTTCACACGCATCAGGCGTTAATCCCTTCCTCAAAACTAATATCGCGGCATATATATGTATATTTTCTCCAGCAGACCTCATCCACTGAAATTAATATGCGATGATCACCATACGCGTGGTATAAAACATTTTGCGCGCCCAATGAACGAGCCCATCCTCCTGAGACAATTAATTAGGCTTGAGGGAGAAAAGAGCCAATGTATGACTGAGAGTGAATTACACGGCATTAATAAAAAGAGAAGAAGAAGGAGGAGGAGTCGTGAGGGGACGTTGACAGCGAAATCGAGAAAGAGAAATTCCCTTCCATCTCCGCTTCTGTCTCTATATCTGTCTTTATAAAGATGAGCGTGATCGGAGTAAGGTATGTATATACACACGGAGAAAAACGTGTATATATACACGTCGAAAGGAGCCGCTGGAGGGGAAAGGCGAGCGGACTTCTTCTTCTTCTTCTCCTTCGTCTCCTTTTGCTAGAGGCGCGTATTTGCCGGTGAAAAAAAAAAAAAAAAAAAAAATTCTCTTTGTAGAGAAAGTAGGCTACGCGAGTAAACCTTCCGAGTGTCTCTGTGTTTGGCGTGTTTGTACGTCGTACACGCGCATGATATGGAAAAAAAAAACGACAGAGAACGAAAACAACGTGGCGGAGGAGCTTTGCTCGACGGCCCCGAGAAAGGAGCCGATGATCGGTAGTTGGAGGTAAGTGTATTACAGGGTATGACGCTAAGAGATGTCGCACGGTTGGGGTAGGAGTGCGTGAGCGTTATTACGTGCACTTAACTATACATGCACCACAATTAAGTAATGGGATGATTCTCGTTACGGGATGTTTACGCTGTCAAAGTCGATGGAGTTATTATTCATTTATGATTTACCTTCGATTTTTGATTTAAAGATGATTTTAGAGTATCACGTGTGTATGTTTGTCCGTACATATATAGGTGAGTAGGTGTGCATGAATCGTTATTGCGAAACGATCGATTGGCTAATGGGGCCTTGATTGTTTTGATCGGCTAAGGAGTTGCTGTATACAATATACGTAACGTCGAAGGATAGGCAGTTTTCTGTCGGTAGCCGGGGGTTTCGTATTAATTGACAGTTGGATGGGTTTATTGGGGCGCACTTGACGGCACCTGCTGCTGCTCTTTTATATACCTGCACACTTGGTATCTCTCGCTTTCTCGTTTAACTTGGACTTTATTAAATATGGCTCACGAATGAGTCGCGTTGTCAATTAAATCGGTTACATCGCCTTTGATCTTCGTTGACGATTTCCTGAAAACTCGATCACGGGACTACGAGAAACATTTTTCTGTCGATTAATTTTCAATCGATCGATCGGTTTTTCGAATCATTGAGTAGACGTGAGCTTTTGCAAAGTATAAATATTGCCCAGTAGTGATGAAAGAAAGACAGAAAAACCACCCCCTCCACCATGAAGCAGAACCGTGTGATTTTAGACTCATATGCATCGTGAGGTTCACAAAAGTATTTCGGCAATTCTCTAATAGAGACACCCGAGATTTTGGTACCAGATATAAGAGTAACTGTGTTCCCCTACGTACACGCAAACAACATAATAGACCTATAGAGTAAAAAAAAAAAGTGACAAAATTCCCGAAGCGTGCAATCATCGAAATCGGAGCAAAATTACAATACAAAAGGGACGGTCTCTTTCGCTCGACAATGGCAATGGTCGGGCAACTCTCGATGCCTGACCAATATTATGGTAATCGTATATAAGCACACATGGATGGTTAAAAAGTATCACTTGGCTTGCATTCAAACGTCACGGGTAAAAGACGTTTGCATCGACAGTACGAGTAATATATAATACAAGACTTGTGAACGTTTCAGAAAAATAAAACCATCGGATGAGATTGTCCGGTGCACGTGACTGGACGCGAATACGAAGAAATTGTCATGTAATCGAGTTTGCACTTATCACGTTTGCAAAAGCATTTGCAAATTTACATATATGCTATTTTATGACTTATTTCGCGAGTTCCACGATTTTCGACTCAGATCTTTTATAATAATGGATTCCTTAAGAGCATGTTCATTGTGAAAAAAAAAGAAAACCGTATCCACTTAAGGATACTTGATGTTTACTAATAAAGTACCATCCAACGTGTAAGAAAAATTGAAATTAGTCATAATTCACGACAGTTTATTACTCAGCCGTGGAGTACTGGTCGAATCCGAAGACGCGTGTATAAATGGTTCCAACATATCCTATGCTGTTGCATTGAGTAGTCTCAGGAAGGAGACGAAAACGAAGAAGAGAAAAGGAATAGCGCACTGTGTGCCTTTCGTCACGTGTATATTTTTCGTTTCCTCGTACAAAGACACGCGTTACATTTTAAACGCCCAACCTGTATTCCACGTGGGTTATCAGACCAGGGACTCTATTAAAAAAAAAAAAAAAAAAAAAAAAAAAAAAAAAAAAAAAAAAAAAAAAAAAAAAAAAAAAAAAAAAAAAAAAAA